TTAATTAGTGAATAGGGGTGAGAGGCTCTTTGAAGTTGTAAAAAGCCCACAGTACAGACGCTAAGAAAAGGAACCAAACAGACTAAATCAGATAGCCCCGGGAGGGCTGAATGGCTCTTGGTGATGGAGCCTCGAGCCCTCTGGGGACAAGCAGAGACAGAACAAAGGAAAGGCAAAAAACTTCTTGAAAGGGCACCCAAGACCTGGGCCTGCCTCCAGAGGCTCGCTGACCCATTCTGGAGGTCCAGCAAACAGTTGCACAGTCTCCTCATTCCCACGAATTGGCAGTGGTCCTTGCATGGCTGTGCAGGGGAAATATCTGAGGGCGCTGATGCCATGCCCTGAGTTATTCCATTGTATGTAAAACAGTTTTCCAGACTGTACTTTGTCCTGAGAGACAGCGTTTAAATCCATCTGAGGATGGAAGATGACACTGTAGCTTGGTGGACATGTAAACAGCACATCTGTCTTGCACCACCACTGGTACACAACTTACTCCTACACGTAGAGAGGGTGCTGCCTTACAAACTTATCAAAATAAACCGAGACTATAGGAGTACTCGCACGTACTAAAATCATATCAGGAAAACTAAGCCCAATGGCTTGTCAGACATACCAGACTGAAAAAAGGGTGCAACTCCCTCACCTGGACCCCATAAAGAGGAAAGCATCCAATAGTGCAATGGCCGTCACCCCACTGACCTGTCATCTGACCACCTGATATATGCACCAAGGGACAGACAGGGAGAACTCCTAATTGTCCTAGAGTTTTGGCCTGTGTGGTGATATATTGTGTACCCCAATAAAGCTTACTTGGAGATCAGAGGACAGAGCCAGCCACTAAATTAGACATAGAGGTCAGGCAGTGGTGGTACACACCTTTAATCCTATCACTCGGGAGGCAGAGATCCATCTGGATCTCTGTGAGTTCAAGGCCACACTTGGCTACATGAGAGAAACAGAACCAGGCAGTGGTGACACACGCTTTTAATCCCAGGAAGTAATATGGTAGGACACAGAAAGGTAGGTATATAAGGTGTGAGGGAACAGGGACTCTTGAGTCTGAGGCTCTTGAGGCTGAGGATTTCGTAGAGGCAAGCTAGTGGCTGGCTGTTCTGATCTTTCAGCTTTCACCCCAATATCTGGCTCTGGGTGTTTTATTATAAGACCTTTTAAGATTTGTGTTACAGGCCTGGCTTGTCTCTGTTGCTGGTGCAGCCTGCTTGTGCCTTTCACCCATTCATCCCTCCAGACTTGCTGTCCGTCTGCCTCCTCACTCATTCAGACCCAGTTTGACCATTTGTTTCTTCAGCTTCTGAGATCTTGCACGCCATTTCTGCAGCTCCACAGTGGCTCTGCAGCCTGACTCTATGGGAGCAGCAATGTCTGCAGCAGATTCTCTGTATCCTTATCAGTCTCCTTTTCCACCTCTCAGGCCTCGTGGAAACTCCTTGAACTCTGTGCTTAATCCTCTTTAACCCTATATAGCCATTCTGTAACCTACATTAAATATATAGAGAGAGATACCTTCACTGTGTGCAGCTCTACAGAAGGAGAGAGAGGAGGAGAGATAAGTAACACTAAAGGTATTTGAAACAGCCTTAAGGGATCATACTATTTTATATTTACCTAAAATTATATAAAATGCATATAGATATATAGATATAATGGCATCCCACTTGGGCTGACGATGTGAATATGTATTCATTTTGACATGTGGAAAGACAGGAACATGTTTGTCTGTGTTTCTAACATAGTATGCTCAGGACAAAACCTAATGAGCCCAGCAGGGAAGAGAGCCACATCATCACTGTCTGCCATGGCTGTTGGGGTGGTTCCTCTTCTGATATACATGTACATATACATATACACACACACACACACACACACACACACACACACATACACACACACACACACACACACACACACACACACACACACACACATACACATATATATACCTGGGGGCTCACAACAACCAAAGCCACATCTGGGGATGACTTCTTACTGCATCAATTATTCAATTATGGCAGAAGAGGGCACCAAGTAAGAGAGCAAGAACTGGAAGAGAGAGAGAGAGAGAGAGAGAGAGAGAGAGAGAGAGAGAGAGAGAGAGAGAGAGACCATACCCTCCACCAGGAAGCTATTCTTGGGAAGATAGGCCTTGGGAGCAGGTCCCTGCACAGCAAGTTCTTCGTGTTGCAATCATGCTCTTCACAGGCATGTTGTCTTATGAGATATCCCATCCTTATTAATGTTAAGTTTCTGAGCAAAGTGACATTGATTGTTGCTATGAGAAACAGCGTGACTTACAGCATGAGGAGCACACTCCTGCTGTTGGGAAAGCAGATACAGACTGTCCCCGTGGATGTCACCCAGAAAGACAACTCAACCTCCTCAAAGGCAAGCTGATGTGAGGACTGTTGGCCATATCCGAAGGGCTGATCCCTCCAATGGGAACTGGAAGGCTGGACTGGGAGTTCAAGGAATGAGGAATAGCTCATACAAGCAGGGGCTGAGGGAACTTGGGAGCATGGAGGTTGGACCAGAAGTGGAGAGATTGGCCTTTGGAGTTGGTGTCTCACACTGTAGCATTGACTAGTCTAGAATTCATTCCTAGGTAAGGCAAACACTGTCCCTGCAAAGCCCTCAGCCACTCCAGTCTTGGGCAAGTTCTGTATCATGTTCATGAGCCTATCATCCCAACACCCTGGAACACTCTACATGTCCCAGCCTCCCTCCTGTAGGCTGTACTGAGGCCCAGGGAACTGGAGCAGTGCACACTGATTGTGAGACTTGTGAAGAGAACTGCTGAAACCCGTGACTCAGTAGGACGCTCAGAAGGACCTGGGGGTCAAGAACACTCAGGAACACACAAAGGACCCTTCCACCAAAATTTCACAGTGACATCAGGAGAGGCAGGCTAGGATCTCCCAAAATTTCAAGCAAACATCCAATTGTAAAGGTTTAAAGGACTCAACAGCACCACCTTCTGTCAACAAGAAAATCTACAAGCAGCCAAATTTGAAATCAACATTAGTAAGATGTTTACCGGGTCAAGGCCCTGAGGAGAAATGAGGCTTACAAAAGACAAAACAGATTGTTGGAAAGAAGGCAGAGGAGAAAAGTGAGTTTGAGATTCCCAGCTTGTCTCTGTGGGTGTTCTAGCTAAAGCTGGGAAGGCAGCTATGTCTTGATTTTTATAAAGAGAAGTGGGAGAGGAAGAGGGGGAAGGAGAGAAGGAGAGAAATAATGAAGAAGCTTAACACTGGAATAGGAAGCATGTGATTTATGTTAACAGTGTCCCCACATTGCAAAAGAGGGCCACCAGTCAGATTAAAGACTCATGTCCTGGTGTAGTGGCAGCAGAGCAGGTGTTCTCTGGCCACAGGGCTGCGCCACCACCGTAGAGGTGTGAGCTAGAGCCTGGAGATTCCTCTGCAGCCACCTCCTAGTTACGTCATCAAACCCTAGTCCATATGAAGGAAGGAAGGAAGAGGCTGGAGGTCCTCCAGAAAAGCGAATCCTGGGACACTGCAAGCTGCTCACCGTGACCGGTAACAGAGGCCTCCCCACAGCCATTTTCAAAGGCAAGCATAGAGTTTGTTCATGTTTCTTGGGGTTTTTCAAACATTCCTAAGGAACAGAAGTTAAGGACTGTGTAAGGTCAAATAGCATGTTGTCTTTCCTGCTTTACGTCCGGAACAGAATTCCATAATGGCCACCTGCACAGACCTGGGCCTGGCAATGTTTTTTAGGGAAAAAAAAATTCAGGTCCCCTCCACACACAAAAAGCCCAAGAAACCAGAAAGCCACATTCCCAAGAAGATTGCTTTGTTTGGTTGTGGGTTTTGTTTTGTTTTCTTTTGTTTTATTTTGTTTTGTTTTGAGACAAGATCTCTCTATAATGTAGCTCTGGATGTCCTAGAAGTTGCTATGTTGACCAGGCTGGCCTCGAACTCTTGGCCAGAGGATTCTAAGAGGTAGGAAGTGACTGTGGCTGCTGCTCTGCTTCTCTGATCATTCAGCTTGCACCCCAATATCTGACTCCCAATATCTGGTTTTTATTGATAAGACTAATTAAAATCACACTTCACCTGGTCTTCCCAAGAGGACTGCTTTTTAAACAGTGTCTGGTGTAGTAGCAAACGGTTTCTCCTAGATCAGCAGTATGACTTAGGGCCACAGAGAAGGTTGTTCTGATACCCACCATTGCCTGGAACGGCCTCCACACTTAACCCATTCGTCGCAGTTTTCTGGTTCACCAAAATTTTATCATTCTTGGATTCTTCACGCATTGCTCTACATTCGCCCTGACCATAACTTCTACTTCTAGCCAAACACTGAACAATGAATGTCATTCCCCTAACCCCAGCCAATCTTCAGCCAGGTTCTCTCAGGCAGGCTAGATTTAACCATGTGACAACCTTCCTGTATCTGCTAGGAAGACAGACACTCGGTGTGTCGGAAAGTCTGATGCACCTTCTGAGCTCAGCAAGCCAGGCTTCATCCTGCTCACAAACACTCGATAGTCAAAGCTAAGTGGCTGCTGGCATTCATGAAATAGCTCAATGATGTCAAGTCCAGAATCAAGACTGTTCTCCTGACCGTTTTTGCTGCTCAGTGATTCAAGCTTTCATGAATCAGTAGGAAAAAGGAAAAAAGCATTGCCTGCCGGCCCTCTCTCTACTTCCTTGTTCTTCCCAGAACTATGCATAATTCTCCCCAGGGTACACCTCTTCTCTTAGTGCTCCAAGAGGCCATGTCCTTTCTCTAGACTTCTCCAATACCCATGAGATTTCACTTTCTGATTATTCAGGGCTCCAAAACTGCAATCATCAGTGCTGTCCCCTCTGCAGGCTATGTTTGATGGTGCCACAACCTTCTTGTGTCAAGAATACGCTCCCTCAGTTTAGCAGAAAGGCTGGTGACAACTGCAGCCTAAACCACCAGGGCTTTGTCATTTTTAATGTATTAATGTATCAGAAAGTTCTTACCTGAGTCTGTACCTTGAAATGCACCCCCGACTCTTTGCTCTAGAAGTCTGAGATTTCAGGGGCTAACACTGAGGTCTTTGATGCATTTGGAATTGGGTTTTTGAGGGGTGAGAAAGAAGGATCAAGTTTCACTCTTCTGTGTGTAGATATCCAGTTCTCCCAGCATCATTTGTGGAGGATGCTGTGTTTTCTACAGTCAGTATTTTTGGCATCTTCGAAAAATATCAGGGGTCCATAGGTGAGTGGACTTATATCTGGGTCCTCAATTCTATTCCACGGGTCACTGTGTCTGTTTTTGTGCCAGTATCATGCAGGTTTTATTATTATGACTCTGTAGGAGAACTTGAAATCGTGAATAGTCTACCTCCAGCAGTGGTTTTATTGTCCAGAGTTTTTGTGTTTCCATGTGACTTTTAAGAGTTTTTTTTTTAATTTGTGTGAAGAATTGCCTTGGAATTATGTTAGGGTTGTGTTGAATCTGCAGATCACCTTTGGTAGGGTGGCAATTTTCACATTATTAATCCTACCAGTCCACAAGCATGGAAGGTCTTTGTGCTTTTTTTTATTTTTATTTTTATTTTTTGATGTCTTCACTTTCTTGTGTTTGAACATTTTCATTGTATAGGTTATTCCATGGTGTTTTGCAGCTCTTGTAATTAGGATTGTTTCTCAGATTTTTCTGTCTCAGCATATTTGTCTTTGGCATATGGGAATGCTTCTGATTGGGGGCTGTTAGTTTTGCTGCCTGCCATTTTACTGAAAATAGTTATCAACTCTAAGGATTTCCTGATGGAGTCATTGTATGTAGAATGACATAGTCTGCAACAGGGATGCTTTGACCCCTTCCTCTCCTGTTTGAATCCCTTTCATATTCCTCTTCCTTTATTTCTCTGGCTAAGACTTCAAGGACTACATTGAACAGGAGTGGGTGTGTTCCTCATCTTCATGGGAATGCTCGAAGCTTTTCTCCATTTAACATGATGGTGGCTAGATTTGTTGTATACAGCTTTTATTGTGTTGAGGTATATTCATTCTTAGTCTCTCTTGGGATTCTGTCATGAAGAGATTTTGCTATTTCTTCATCTATTGAAATCATCATATTATTTCCTTGAGTCCATTTATCCAATAAATGACATTTATTGATAATACTTGATGTTGAATAGTTCCTTAAGGTACTTATACCTTAGAAGCCCTCAACACTACCTGTATTGTATCCTGTAGGTTTTGTATGTTGTTTCATTTTCATTCAATTTTATTTTGCTTCCTTCTTTATTAATTTCGTGTCTCATCATTGTATCATTTAACATTCATGAGTTTATATGTTTTCTGTAGTTTTCTTCATATTGATGTCTAGCTTTATCCCATTGTGGTTATCTGTCCCCGTTCCTATATTTATTGAGACTTGTTTTGTGCCTGAACATATAATCTATTTTAGAAAATTGTCTTGGCTGGGGTTTCTATGGCTATGAAGAGACACTATGATCATGGCAACTCTTATAAAGGAAATCACTTCACTGGGAACTGGCTTAGAGTTCAGAGGTTTGGTCCATTGTCATCATGGTGGGAAGCATGGCAGCATGCAGGCAGACATGGTGCTGGAGAAATTGCTGAGAGCTCTACATCCTGATCCAAAGGCAACAGGAAGAGAGAGTGAGCCACTAGGCCTGACTTGAGCTTCTGCAACCTCAAAGCCCACCCCTCAGTGACACAGTTCCTCCAACAAGGCCACACCTACTCCAACCTCCTAACAGTGTCACCCCCATAGGCCTATGGGGGCCATTTTTATTCAAACCACCACAAAAATGCCCCCATGAACTGCTAAGAATAATGTGTATTCTTTGGTGTTTAGGTGGAATGTTCTGTAGGTGCCTTAGCCTATCTGATATATAGTGTCCTTTAGCTCCAGTGTTTCTTTCCAAACTGATACTTCTAATGGTGAAAGTGGGGTATTCAGATCATCCTCTGTTGCTGTGGTAGGCTTATTTCTATGGCATTGAATTATTTGTTTTATAAAATTAAGTGAGCCTTTGTATGGTGCATATATTTTTAGGACTAAAATTTCCTCTTGATGGATGATTCCCTTGATCAGGACAAAGTGACCCTCTTTCTCTCTTTTGACTAGATTTAGGTTAAAGTATTTCTGTTAGATATAAGAATGGCAACTCCTGCTTGCTTCCCGGTTTCATTTGCTTAGAATACCTTTTTGCTTCCTTTCAATCTAAAGTAGCATTTATCTTTGATCAAGATGTATGTTTCCTGGAGATAGAGAAATATATGGATCCTGTTTTTTAATCCTATATGTTAGTCTATGACTTCTGAAGGGGGAAGTGAGAACATTAATGTTCAGAGTTATTATTTAAAGGTGCATATTGATTCCTGACATTTTGTATATTTTGTAGTGTTTGGTAATTCCTCAGTGCTCTTTTATTTAATGAGTGACTCAGCATCATTTATTTTTCCCTCCTGTAGCCTTCTGGATGTGTTATCTTTCTCTTCCGTGCAAAGCATTCCCTATAGTAACCCTCTGTAGTGTGGGTTTTGTGGTCATATATTCCTTTGGCATGCTTTTTATTATGGAAAGTTCTTCTTTTACCTTCAACTGTGACAGACAGGTTTTTTTTGTTTTTGTTTTTGTTTTTGCTGGGTATTTTAGGCTAGGTTGGCAGTTAAGAACTTCTTGAGTTTGGAATACATCATTCCAAATCCTTCTTGATTTTTAACTTTTTGAAAAAAAAGTCAGTAGTTATTCTGATAGACCTGACTTTATAGGTGACCTGGCCCTTCTCTCTTGCAGCTTCCAATGTGCATTCTTTGTTCTATGCATTCAGTGTTTTAACTATACTATGACTCAGGGAATTCCTTTTCTGGTCCTGCCTAATTGACCATTCTGTGTACCTCTTGTATCTGGGTGGGCTTTTTCTTTCTCTGGGTTTTGGATATGTTCTTCTGTGGTTTGACTTAAAATATTTTCTATCCCTTTGTATGAAATTCTTCTCCTTCTTTATGCTTATAATTCATAAATTTTGCATTTTCACAGGGTCCCAAAGTTCTTGCATTTTTCAGTTATACTTTTTTTAAATTATCATTGATCTTGGCTGAAAACCCAATTCCTGTATTTCACCTTCAAATACTTGTATTGTGTCTTCTGTGTGGTCCATTCTATCAGTGAGGCTTTCCACTGTACTTTTTTATTCTAATCTATTGTGATTTTCATTTCTATCATCATTGATATTCCAGGCATCAGGCACTGTCTATAATCAACCCCTGTGAGTTAAGCAGAGTCAGCAGCAACAGTCGCTACCCACTGGTTAGCCCCACAGAGTATCAGATGACTACAAAACAAAGAGTTGTTAAGCGTTGGTTGTTTTAGGGAGTAAAAAGATTCTGAGAGTGCTGTGAACAGTGGTATGTTAGTTATTGGACCGTCAGTGGAAAGGCAAGGAAAAGAAAAAGAACTAAGACATCATGGTGGAATGAGTAATTAGCATTGGGTTGCTAGATGGGAAGTACAAGAGGACTTATATGGGCATAGAAAGAACAGAGGCAAAGGAAAAACATGAGAAGATTTGGAAACTGTGGTGGTTAGACTAAATAGAAGGCGATAAAGAAATGTACTCAGCTATCATAACCAGGTCAGTCTCCTGGCTTTGGGAGATGTAACTGTATGGAGAAAGAATAGAGAGGAAGGAAACACAGAAATGTAAGGGTGAATAAGAGAACCAAACAGTAAAAATCACAAACAATAGGGGACAGCGCTGGCCTGTATGATATAGGTGAGGAAGAGCTGTGGCAGAGGAAGAGCTAGGTGAAGATGTATGATAACAGAATCCAAAACTGAAATCACTGTCCTGAATGTTGTTTTTCATCTCCCAGTGCTGACCCACTACATTGTCTTCCAGACCTCCCCCGGGTCAACTCTTTGTTGATTCTCACAAGTCCTGTTCCTCTTGTGTGGATTCCTACTGCTATTACTGTTGGTTTTTTTTTTAAATGTTTTGCTAATTATTTGAGAATTTCATGCAATGTATTTTAAAGATGTTTGCCCTCTTCTCCAATTCCTCTCATAACCATCCTTTCCACCCTCCCTTTCCTTCCCACCCAAATTTGAGTTTTCTTCTTTTTTTTAATCCCTATCAAGTCCAGTGTGCATCGCCCAACTTGTTGGGAGTAGGCCATGCCCTGGCATGTGGTCACATCATTTAAGAAAACTAAAGCAGATTTCCCCTGCTCCCTCCTCTCCTCCAAATCCAATCCCTCAGTCTCATCCCCAGCTCTATAGTAGACCACCTGCTGTGGCCTCCCCTCTGTCTCTGCCCCTATTTCCAGCAGATCGTACAGTACAGTCTCCTCCAACCTTCCTCCCTAATCATCTTTTTCTCTCAGCCCCCAACTCCAGCAGGCATTCCCTGGGAACCCTCCAGCCAAGCCTGCCAGAGAAGCAAGAGGGTGAGCAAAGTAGAAAGATAAATTTCAAGTTTGCTCTCCCTCCTCTCCTCAAATCCAACCCCCCCCCCCAACAAGTCTTACCCACAGCTCTGTAGCAGATCATCTATTCTGCCTTCTCCTCACTCCCTGCCCCCATTCCCAGGGAACAAAGCAGATCCTAGAGGAGCACCCTGCTTTCCTCCCTCCTGTGGACCACCTCAGCCCCCACTTCTAATCCATCTGCATTCCTACACATCAGCTCCGATACCTGGAAACACATTTTACCCAAAACCCCAGTGGCCACACCTGTCGGAATCCCAGAAACATTTCCTACCAGGCAACACACAGATACCACACTCTCCTAAGAACTAGAGGGGGCAACAGGAACCAAGGAACAAAACACCCACCCAACAAAGACAAGACTAGATATTAGCACCTAGAATTACATCATTCCAAATGTAGATGCCCAGACACCAGCATAAAAAAGACAATAACAGTCAGGAAAATATGTCCCCACTACAGCCCAGAAACCCTAGTACAGTAGGCTCTGAAAAGTGCAACAAAGCTGAAGCTCAAGGCAAGGACTTTAAAATAGCCTTTATGGATCTGATAAGAGGTCCTTAAAGATGAAATGAGTAACGATATTAAGGAAATCTTAAAAATCAAAAAGTGGAAAGAAATGAAAAAAATAGTTCAAGACCTGAAAGTGGAAATAAAATCAATAAAGAAAACCCAAACTGAGAGAAATCTGGAAATGAAAAATCTAGGAATTCGAACAGGAACCATAGAGGCAAGATTCACCAACAAAATATAAGAGGTGGAAGGGAGAATCTCAGGCATTAAAGGCAGGGTAAAAGAAATAAATATCTCAGCCAAAGAAAATGTCAAATCTTAAAAAAAAAATCCAATCATAAAATGTTCAGGAAATCAGGGAATTAAACGTGTGAAAAGATCAAATCTACAAATAACAGGAATAGAGGAAGAATAAACCCGGGTCAAGGGCACAGAAAATACTTTCAACAAAAAAATCACAGAAGAAAAATTCCCTAATTTAAAGAAGGACATGGTATCAAGGTACAAGAAACATATAGAACACCAAATAGACTGGACCAAAAAAGAAAATCCCTCTGGCACTAAGTATTAAGAACACTAAACATACATAAAAAATAAAGAATATTAAAAGCTGCAAGGGGAAATGACCAAGTAACATATAAAGGCAGACTTAGTAGAATAACACCTGACTTCTCAATAGAGATGAGAAGGACAGATGTTCTACAGACTGTAAGAGACCAGAGATTCCACCAATCCGGACTACCATATCCAGAAAAACATTCAATAATAATAAGTGGGGAAAGAAAACCAAATTTTACAAGTATCAGTCTATAAATTCAGTCCTACAGAAGATGCTAGAAGGAAAACTTCAACCTGAAGAGGTTAATCACACCCAAGAAAACACAAGGAATAAACAATCCAAAACCAGCAAATCAAATGAATGGGAGGGGGACACACAACAACAATACAACAGTAATTAAGAAACTGCTCATTGGTAAATATCAAGGTTTCAATTCCACATCAAGGGTTTCAATTCCACAACAAAGAGGCACAGATGAACAGAATGGATGGGAGAACACGATCCATCTTTCTACTGCATCCAAGAAACACACCTTACCACCAAGGATAGACATCAGGGGTAAAGGGATGAAAAAAGAAACTCCAAGCAAATGCCCTAAGAAACAAGCTGGTATAGTGATATTAATATCTGAAAAGATAGAGTTCAAACCAAAACTCATCAGAATAGATAGTGAAGATCACTACATACTCATCAAATGAAAAATCCACCAAGAGGACATTGTAGTTCTTAGCATCTGTGCACCAAAAACAAGGGAACCCAAATTCATGAAAAAAAAATACTACTACAGCTTAAATTAACAATTGGCCATCATACACTGACAGCAGTGGAATTCAACAGACAGGTTATCCAGACAAAAGGCAAACAGAGAATTGCTGGAGCTAACTGACGCCATAAATCAAATGGCCCTAACAGAAATTTATAGAACATTTCACCAAAATATAAAAGAATACACCTATTCCCAGTACATCATGGAACTTTTTCTAAAACTGACCACATACTTGGACACAGCAAGTCTCAAAAGATACAAGAAAATTGAAATAACACCCTGCATCATATCAGACCACCACAGATTGAAGGTGGATATCAACGGCAACACAAACAACAGAAAGCTTACAAATTCATGGAAACCAAACAACTCACTACTGAATGAAAAATGTGTCAAGACAGGAATTAAGAAAGAAAAAACAGATTGTCTACAATTGAATGAAAATGAATGCACAACAATACCCAAACTGATGGGATACAATGAAGGCTGTTCTAAGAGGCAAACTCATAGCATTAAGTGCATACATAAAAAAAAAGGGGGGGAGGTCACATGCTAGTAATTTAACAGCACACCTGAAAGTTCTATGGCAGACAGACAGAAAGAAAGAAAGAGAGAAAGAAAGAAAGAAAGAAAGGAAAGAAGGAAGGAAGGAAGGAAGAAAGAAAGAAAGAAAGGAAGGAAGGAAGGAAGGAAGGAAGGAAGAAAGAAAGAAAGAAAGAAAGAAAGAAAGAAAGAAAGAAAGAAAGAAAGAAAGAAAGAAAGAAAGAAAAGAAAGAAAGAAAAAGAAACCACACCCCCAAAAAGAGCAGATGGCAAGAAATCATCAAACTCAGGGCTAAAATCAATGAAACAGAAGCAGTTAAAAAAAAATCAATGAAACAAAGAGTTGGTTCTTTGAGAAAATCAACAAGATTGACAAACCCTTATCCAAATTACCTAAAATGCAGAGAGGGAATATCCAAATTAACAAAATTAAAAATGAAAAGGGGGACATAGCAACAGACACTGAGGAAATCCAGAGAATCACAAGGACATAATTTAAAAACCTATACTCCTCCAAATTGGAAAATCTAAAATAAATAGATAATTTTTTCAATGGGTACCATTGACCAAAGTTAAATTAAGATCAAATAAGCAAATTAAATGGACCTATAACCCCTAGTGAAATAGAAGTAGTCATTAAAAGCCTACCAAAGGGCTAGCTATTTTTTCACAGAATTCTACCAGACTTTACAACAAGACTTAATGCTAATACTCTGCAAATTACTCCACAAAATAGAAACAGAAGAAATATTGCCAAAATTGTTTTTACAAGGCCAATTACCCTGATACCTTAACCACATAAAGACCCAACAAAGAAAGAGAATTACGGACTAATTTCCCTTATAAACACAGATACAAAACTCTCAATAGAATATTTGCAAACCAAATCCAAGAACACATCAAAAAAAAAAATCCACCATGATCAACTAGGCTTCATCCCAGAAATACAGGGATGGTTCAGCATACATAAACCAATAAATGTAATCTGCCATATAACCAACTGAAAGATAACACCATGAAATCATTCTCATTCGATGCAGAAAGGGCCTTTGACAAAATTCAATACCCCTTCATCATAAAAGTCCTGGAAATATTAGAAATAAAAAAAATACTTCAACACAATAAAGGCAGTTTACAGCAAGCTCATATCCAACATTGACTTAATTGTAGAGAAATTCAAAGCAAATCCAATAAAATCAGGAACAAGACAAGGTTGTCCACTATCTCCATACCTATTCAGTATACTTGAAGTCCTAGGTAAAGACAACTGAAGGGGATCAAAGGTATATAAATAAGAAAGGAAGAAGTCAGCAAATCTTTATTTGTAGGTGATATAATAGTATGCATAAGTGAAGCTAAAAATTTGACTGGGAAACTCCTACAGCTAATAAATACTTTCAACAAAGAAGCTAGATACAAAATCAACTCACAAAATTCAGTAGCCTGGTGATATACAAATGACAAACAGACTGAGAAAGAAATCAGGGAAACAATACCTTTCAAAATAGCCTCAAAAAATAAACTATCTTGGAGTAACTCTAACCAAGCAAGTGAGAGACTTGTATGATAAAATCTTTAAGACAATGAAGAAAGAAATTGAAGAAGCTATCAGAAGATGGAAAGACCTCTAATGCTCATGGATTGGTAAGATTAATATAGTAAGAAAATGGCTACCAAAAATGGCCTACCAAAATCAATCTACAGATTCAATGCAATCCCCATCAAATTTCCAACACAATTCTTCACAGACCTTGAAAGAACAATACTAAACTTCACATGGAAAAACAAAACACCCAGGACAGCTAAAACAATCCTGAACAATAAAAGTACTTTGAAAGGTCTCACCATTCCTGATTTCAAGTTGTACTACAAAACAATAGCAATAAAAATAGCATTGTATTATCCCAAAAACAAAATACATTGATCAATGTAATTAAAGACCCAGACATAAATCCATATACCTATGGACACCTGATTTTTTTTTATAAAGAAACCAGAAATACACACTGTAAACAAGACAGCATCTTCAACAAACGATGCTGGTCAAACTGGACAGCGGCATGTAGAAGAATGCAAATAGATCCATATTCATCACCCGGCACAAAACTCAACTCCAAATGGATCAAAGACCTCAATGTAAGACCAGATACACTGAACCTGATAGAAGAGAAAGTGGAGAATAGCCTTGAGCTCACTGTCACATGAAAAGACTTTCTGAAGAGAACATCATTAGTATAGGGACTAATATCAATGACTAATAAATGGGACCTCATGAAACTGAAAAGTTCTGCACATCAAAAGACACCAGCATGTGGACAAAAGGCAGCCTATAGAATGGGAAGATATTTTTACCAACTCAACATCTAAAAAAGGACTAATAGTCAAAACAAATAAAGAATTCAAAAAAAACTGGATATCAAGAAAACATATACCCCAATGGAAAGGTAAGGTACAGATTTAAACAGAGAATTTTCAAAAGAGGAGACTCAAGTGGCTGAAAAGTACTTTGTATTAGTCAGGGTTCTCTAGAGTAACAGAACTTATAGAATGACTCTCATAGTGTGTGTGTGTGTGTGTGTGTGTGTGTGTGTGTGTGTGTGTGTGTGTGTGTGTGTGTGTGTTTGTGTGTGTTATGGCTTCTGGTGAACAAGTGAGTCTCTGTATCTGTATCTGTTTCTTATGCCTTTTCTTGGGCTCTTTTCCTTCGGTTTTTGTGTTTTGTCCTATCCTAATTGGTTGTTTTCGTTCTCTCTTATTATACCACACTTTATTATTATCCCTCGGATGCCTCTTTGTTTTCTAATGAGACACAGAAAGTGAGTGGATCTCGATGGGAGGGAGTGTGGGTAGGACTGGGAGGAATAGAGGGAGAAAAAAACAATCAGAATATATTATACTAAAAATCTAATTTTAATAAAGGCAAACCAAGTGTCCTTCTCCCAGAAGGTATCAAATGCCAATAGCTCCTCAGTTAGTGGTGGGATTCCATACCTACCTTTCCCGTCTAGGCTGGAATTTTGTCCAACTTGACCTTGTGCAGGTCCAGTGTGTGATGTAGAATCACTGTGAGTTCATGTGTGCATCTGCCTTGTGCCCAGAAAATGTGGTTTTCCTTGGTGTTATCTGCTGTTTCTGACTCTTACAATCTTCCCATCCCCTCTCCCATGAAGATTTCTGAGCCTTGGGGTGAAGGGTGTGATATACATGTCCCATTTAGGGCCAAACACTCCATATGTAGTCTCTTAATCTTTGCAAGTTTACCAGTTGCAGCTTCTGTATTAACCGCCATCCACTATAAAGAGAAGCTTCCCTGGTGAGACTTGAGAGGTGCTCTGGTGTATGGTTACAGGAATAACACATGGAAGGCCATTTTACTACTATGTCCATTTAACAGGATAATAGTACTGGGCTCTCCCCTGGAGCTTATGACCAAGCTAACCACTGGTTCTTGGCTCCTTTAATGGTGCCGGGCATGGGTTCCACCTCATGGAGCAGACCTTAAATCCCATCAGAAAGTGCCTGGTTAATTCCATAGCACTCATGCTGTTATTGCACCAGTGGGCATATCTTGTTAGGACAATCATTGCTGTTGTCTGCAGGATTCACAGCTGGGTGAAATTGATTATTATCTTTTCCCTCTGGTAGCTAGTACAGCACCTTCCAGCACTATAAGAGCTAGCCAGTAGGAATGAAGCTTCCAAGTGAATACCAGCCTGATTTTCTCCATGCCTTGTGACTCAAGTATATGGTATCTTCAGCAATAGGATCTTAACTTCAAGTTCTGGAGTGTATTCAAGATTATTGGCAATAGATTATATGCTTTCGGGGTCTATAGGACATCCGTTGGCCAACAACTCAAAAAGTGGCAACCTATTTCTAGCACTTGGGTTTTCAAATGCTAGCATGAAGTGTCTAATTGGGTTGTTATCCTACCCCCCCCCCCACACACACACACAATTGATGTGTAACTCCATATCTTAGGAAGCTGATATAGTAGTGGGTTTCTATGTGACCTTTTCAAAAGTCCTTTAGTGTTGGTTATCCCCTCCCCATATTCCCTCCTCTAGTCCACTTCTTGTGAAGTTATTTGTCTCTGTCCTATGACCTGGGAATAGCCGAAACAAATTTTCCCCAGCTACTATTGCTGCCATCCCATAGGGCCAGCAACAGTGGATGACTGTAAAGTGCCTGAGGCACTATTTCAAGTTTAGGCTTAGTTCTCACTATTCCCTGGCTCCCCACTGGGGTATTGATGGTAGACCTGGTGGCAGTCATTGGAGACCCTTCTATATAATCCCTCTTGGCACACATTCTGTAGATTTCCTGGAAGAGATCATTACTACTCTTTTTCAACTGACTTCTGGAGTCGGCCAGATTCTGCAGCTGCAGTAGCCACTGTATTACTTGCAGTCATAGCAACAAGTCTATTACAAGTCTATAACAAAGGAAGTTATTTGGGGCATGGATAAGTGGGTCCTGGAGAGTGGAGAAGCAGCTGATGGAGTGATTAACCATTCTATTCCCTTTGTTTCCCTACCTATAATCAACTACTTGCTCTGACTAGCTTCTAAGCCATCATCTGAATCAAGGGAACAGGACCTTATCTTGACCATACAACAAGTAGTCTTTAAGTCATCTACTCACATTAGTTTGATGGCTCTACAATGTCCAGGCCAGTGTCTTGACTTTTCTGAGGAGGTCCAGCACCAATATTCTCTTCCCTGACTGGTTCTGAATTGACTGAGAAATGAGACAATATAGTTGATTTACGAGACAACCAATCATCCCCATTTCACTGATAAAAACAGGACATTAGAGAATATCTGTTATAAGACAGAGTAGTTATGATTCCTAATCCTGAAGCTCAGAATGTGTCGGAATCACCTGTCCAGTTTCACGACACTAAGGCAGCCCCAGGTCCAGTCCATGTCAACAGGAGTAGAATGGTACATATGCCATGGTATTGTTGGCGCAGCCTCCTCCATTAGGAAGGGAATAACAACAGGAGTGGGAAGAAGCATCACCTCTATTCCACATGCATGGCATTACCCCTTGCCAGTCATTCTCAACAGTCTAGACCAACTCCATCACGTTGCATGTTCCATACATCTTGCTCCATGTCACTCTGCACTGCATCCTAAAATACTCATAAACAATCATGTTACGCTGCTCCTAACCATCCACAGAAAAATGTATCTTCCAGCTTAGTATGAGAGAGAGTCACCTCACCTCTAGCCACCTTCAGCTTCTTATCCTAGCCACATCAGACTTCCTGCCTTCTCAAGATAAACCACAACCTTTCTGCCTTTTCGTCCCAGATAGGTCCACAGTAGGGACATATGCAGACCAGAATAGCAATGAAAGCAGCTCAACATAAAATCATAAACTTAATTAAAATTTATGTTTTTTTCTTGTAAGTCAATTATGAAGTTCTTGAGTATGAAGTCTATACATGATAAGCATCATGTCACAATGTGAAAAGTTTGGACACTGAATGACACTGCTCCCTTGGCCTAAACTAAGCATCTTCTTTGAATTGTTTTTCCTTAGAGGGTCCCATTCATACTCTAACACTTAGATATATTTATTATAAACAGGAGCCATGTTTTATACTTTGAGAATTTGCATGTGGAAATCCAGTAAATATCTAGAATATAGCAAGGCAGCAACTTACAGAATGAAGACATTAAATAAATGAACAAATGAATGAATTAATTGTTAATTAATTAATCTACCCAGCTAGTGTGGATGTAATTCTGAACAGTCTTATTAAATAAGAAACACAGTGCCAAATGCAGAGTTAAAAGCTCAAGAGGTCAGAGCAGCAGCCAAGAGCTAAGACCAAGACTGCCTTCTTATCACCCGCTGCCGCTGCCGTCCTTCCCCTGAGAAAGAGACCTACTTCCTGTGTGCCTGTCTTTTTATTGAATTTCTGTTCTGCCTTCTCATTGGTTGTAAACCCAACCACATGACCTCCTCATCACTGCCTGTCTATACAGACCTCCAGGTCTCCATGATTGGTATTGGTGTGTGTCTCCATGCTGGTGGTGTCCTTGAACACACAGAGATCTGCCTGTCATGTGATCAGGATTAAGGGCATGTGCTACCACTGCCAGACTTCTGCTAAATGGCTTGTTATTAGCTCTGACCCCTAGGCACTTTTATTTATTGACATACAAATAGAACCACATTTCGGCACAAATAAAATATCACCATAAACTAGATTGTAAATTCCTCAAAAACAGAAGCTATGCCTTACACTTCTCTGTACTTCCTAACAAACCGAAGTGTTGATGATGGTGGCAGTAATTGTGGTAGTAGTGGGGATGATGACAATAATTCCACTGACCATCATAATGGCCACCATGAACTCTTCAGGTCCTTCACCCCTTCCCTTCCTCCCAAATGCATCATGCATCTGAGAAACTCTCCAGTCCCACGGAAGCATTGAAAGAAGCAAAGGGCAACATGTCAGAGCAACATTTTGCAAACATAAAACATTCTCCGAATGGTTTTACCCCCAGGGCAGTCCCTAGCTTTGAAAGGAAGTGGCTGTCCAACCACTTTAGCAAAGACTTGTGTTCTGGAATATACCTGAGGCCATACCTTGTCATCTGTTAGAAGGTTTCAGAACAAGAAAACATCCTGCCTAGGCAGAAATACAGCAGCAGCTTCAAAGTCTCTAGTCCTAGAAAGGCTCTGATCGACACTCTATCCTGGACATGGTGTCTGATTGAATCCGATCCTCCCCTTTTTACTCAGGATAGGGCACTGGGACAAGGCCACGAAGCCTTTGTCTTTTCTGCCAGAGTGACAAATACCTAGGGGGTCTGAACCTGTCAGAGAGCCTCCCCAGGACTCTCTGGCAGCTGTCAGGGTCCTGCGCCAAGACTCCAGATCAAACACTAGTCAGTCGTGATCCCAGAGAAATCATTCTCCTCTCTGACCTCAGCTTCCCTTCAGTCACTCAGTCTTCAGAGTGAAGTATGTGTTCTGCATCTCTCAAAATCAATGCCATAAAACATTCCTTTCCCTTCCTCACTCGTCTCTAGGCTCAGTGATCATCCTGCCGCATCCGGAACATTCCAGAAACAAACAAGCTTCTTGGACTTTTACAGCGGCTTTCCCTACCCTCAGACAGAAACATGACTCTCTCACACAACCTTTTATCCTGTTTCTAACTACAGCCCGCGCACACTCCCCAAGGCTCTATCTCTGACTTTCCTTTCTCCACGGCATTTGCCACCTTTTAATGTATTTCCCTTATTTACTTTACTATCAGAAAACAAGAAGCTGTATGGGGGTGGGCGAGGGCGGGGCGTGGGGAGGAGGCAAGGGAGGGGGGATAGCTGTTTGTCTTGTTCACTGTCCTGAACAATACACCTGGCACGTTGTACAGGCTCAAGGCTATCTGTTGAATGACTACAACGCATGTTTACTGAGCACCTACTGTGTTTTAGGCTCTGAGACTAGCAATGACATGGAAAGAGCCCTCGAGATGTTCACTGTCCTGAACAATGTGCCTGGCATATTGTAGGAGCTCAACGCTATCTGTTAAATGACTACAACACTTTTACTGAGCACCTACTGTGCTATAGGCTCTGAGCCGAGCAATAGCATTTAAAGATTCCTGGAGATGCTACCTATCTAGCACGAGAAACAAATTAAGAGCGACTCAATCTGTTGACCAATAAAACAGGAACAGACAAGTAGGGATGGTGAACTTGGATGGTCCAGAAGAAAAGCAAATTCGTTTTGTGGGGAAGAGGGAGCACCGACTGAAAACTACCCAAGGGCCTCTTCCTCCTCTTCTCTCACTCCTCCATGCACTGCTTCCTTGAAGAGCACTCGTACACATACAGAAATTCATTAGACAAGCATCCAGTAGTGTAAGACTAAAACAATCCATGAAGCTTGGCCCATAAGCTCAGTGAATGCCCAGTCCCCTCTGTTCATCACACGGCCACTTTGGATGTCAAAATAATAGTCCATTGGTCAGAATCAGGTTGCTCTTCTAATTGGCACTAGGCAGCCAGAATCCTGGTTGTGGGAGGAACCTGTAGACATCAAGCCCTGGGCACAAACCCTGAAGACACAGTTTGTCATGGTCTTGGATCTTGTGCTTGCAAGTTTAAGGTTTTCTCTGAAATGTTTAACCCGGTCCAAAATGTGTGAGAAACATTCATTTTTCTAATAAGTATAGCTTTCTAACATCCACTATGCTTATTAATAGCCCACATATATCACCAACGAAAACTCATTTCTTAACTCATTGCACTAATTAGCAAGGTCACTAGTATTAGTAAAGGAAAAAAGAAACAAAGTACATAGAGAAGTTTCCAGAATGTGAGCGTTCTGATTAGGTTACCTGCTGTCCAGTCCTGGGCCGTGAATTCCTGATTGACGGTAACGGATTGCACCTAGGGTGTGGATGAAACTAATTGGTGCATATATGAAAACACACTTCGATGCTGGAGTTGTTGAAAGCAAATTACCAACATTATAACTGTATAGTACAAGAGATGTCATGTTCCTTAACCTAATTTTAATCTCCTTCAAGATACTTCTCACTGGACAGTAAGGAACACAATCTCAGCACCCAGCAATCCTCTAGTAAGGTTTCTCCTTTGGGGTCACAAGAGTCTTATGTCCCTAACACTGAAGAAATCCCACTGGCATTGGTGCAGTTCTTCAGATAGACTCCTGTCAAGAGATTGACTCATGCTGTGGGATAACGCTTTTGTACACTGATTTAATAAAATGCTGATTGGCCAGTCGCCGGGCAGGAAGTACAGGTGGGATAAGCAGAAAAGGAGAATTCTGGGAAGAGAAAGGCTGAGTGAGGAGACGCCAGCCTGCTGTCCAGGGAGCAGCATGTAATGGCACACAGGTAAAGCCACAGAACACATGGCAACATATACATCAACAGAAATGGGCTGAGTTTAAGTATAAGAGCTAGTCAGTAATAAGCCTGAGCAAATGGCTGAGCAGTTATAAATAACATTAAGCCCCTGGGTGATTATTTTATAAAAGGCTGCGGGACTGTGGGTGAGAGATTTGTTCTGACCGTGGGGCCAGGCAGGACACAGAAAAACTTCTGGCTACAGACTCAAGTCTGATTTCTGGGACCCCTGCCAAGGCTGAAAGCCCAGGACCTGAGTCTTGTCCAGATATTCCATATGTTGTGTGCCTCTGAAGCCCAGGACCTAAAGCCCCACCCACCACACAACTCCCAAATTCCCCTCAGTCCCGTTGGTCCTCCCAGCTGACAGAAAACTCCATATGTCTGACCTCCATCTATTCTTAGAGTGAAAAGAACTCAGAGGGCCACTGGGGTATGGTGAACATGAAGCAGGCAAAGACTGGGTTGAAACATCGAGTATTAAAGGTCTGGGCTCAAGCAAATAAAGGGCCATGTGGGATTCCCTGTATATGCCCAATCAAAGGTGGCACCTCAGAGGCCATGTATGGTGATATTTTATTTGTGCTGAAATGTGTTGATATTTTATTTGTGCTTTGATAAATAAAGCTTGCCTGGAGATCAGGGGGAAAAGACCAGCCATTTTAAGTAAACAAAGTCAGGCAGCACATGCCTTTAATCCAATCACTTACCAGACAAGGTCTCTGTGTGTTGAAGGCCATACTCGGGAACAGAACCAAGTGTGGTGATACACACCTTTAATTCCAACCAGTACCAACCATAGAGACCTGGAGGTCTATACAGACAGAGAGTGACAAGGAAGTGAGATACCTGGGCTAAGAGCCAATGAGAGGGCAGAAAAGCAAGGCATATAAAGGCATGGGTAGACAAGAAGTAGCTCGCATTTGGAAGTTGCAGAGTTGGTGAGGTAAGGTTGGCTGGTGGCTTTTCCTATTTCCCTGATCTCTAAGGCTTTCACCCCTATATTTGGCTCTGTGGTTTTTTATTTAATAAGACCATTTATAAATTCATCTACAGCCATGAATATAAACAGTGATGGGGGAGTGAGGTTCAAGATCTATAGAGAAGAGGGAAGCCACTGTATGTTAAGACAACAAGAATTAGAAATGTGTTTTTAGAGGCTGAGCCTTGGCTAGAGTCTCCTTCATGCAGAGTAACAGCCTCTCCACCTTGCTGTCAGTGAAGTGACCCAGAGAATAATCAGAGCCATCATCGAGTCATGTTCAATTCCGCAGGTGTCACAAGCCATCTAGCCTGCTGGAGGGATGGACTACCCTATCTCTTCCAGGGACTGACACAGTCTAGTTTCTCTCCTGTCACAGACTCTCAAGAAGGCTTAGAGTTCTCCCATCCATCTCCACATGTCATGGAAGCCGGGTTGGATCCGGAGTCTATATACAAATCTCACGAATGACCTTGGACGAGTAATCCCAGGCTTGCCAGGCTCTGCCCCCCTTTCCCCTCACTTCTTTCTTCCCTAATATCACATCAACTCTATGCCATGGTCTTGAGCCGTATAATTAGAGTTTCTCTAATGGGCAGTAGAAAGGCTTGTTTGCAACAGAAACTCTAGCCTGGCTCACCCCTGACTATGTGGTGCCTTTCTCTTCACATAGAGAGGCAACACTCATCCCAAATGACTCTAGTGGTGGGAAACAGAAGTCAGTGACAGCTGGGAGAGCTTTCCTCTCTCCTATCAACCCAAGGCTCAGTGGAAGCACCAGTTCACGAACGTCTCCCTCTCTGTCTCTCACACCACTCATTTATGTAAGACTGGCTGGCTTTCAAACCAGCCATGGACTCCCCATGGTTCTTCATTTGAACTTCCACAGGATTACTTTGATGAGCCCACTCAGTTAGGCCATGGTACCTGGATGTCGTATGAAACATCAACCTGCAGGTATTTTGCAGACAAGATGAACACCAAAATCAGTAGACACTATTTCCCTCCAGGATATGGGTGGGTCTTGTCCAATCAGTGAATTGCCTTAGGAGAAAACTGAAGTCTCCCAAGGAAGAAGGAATCCTGCCTGGAGACAGCCTTTGGGCTGTAGCTGCAACATCAGCAGATTTTCCAGCATCCACAATCATAGGAAGTAGGAAGACATTTATGCATGGACAGAGACATGTGGATTGGTGGTGGCAAGAGAAACAGTTTGTTAGAACACTTCCCAGGGAGAAAGTGAACCAGATCTGGGAGAAAGGTCAGCTCACTGGTGTCTGTACTCAGAAGATCCGGACCTTCAAGACCACTCGTATTACATGTTCCTTTTTTATGCATGTTCTGCACAGTGGGCTAGTGGGCAGGTGTGTTGATATTTTATTTATGCACCCCAATAAAACTTATATGGGGATCAGAGGACAGAGCCAACCACTATATTAAACATAGAGGTTAGGCAGTGGTAGCACATGCCTTTAATCTCTGCACTAGTTAACCATAAAGGTCTGGAGGTCTGTACAGACAGACAGGAAGTGATAGAGCTGGGTGGAAAGAGGAAGTAAGACGGCAGGGCACAGAAAGGTATATAGGCATGAGTATACAGGAAGTATCTCTCTCTTGAGCTGAGGATTTCCTAGCGCTAAGAACTTGTGACTGGCTTGTTCTGTTCCTCTGATCTTTAATCTTTCACCCCAATATCTGGCTTTGGGTTTTCTATTAATAAGACTGTTTAGCAATTCACGTTACAGGCAGGTTTCCAATCTTTCTATCTACCAACTGGTGTCTTTCATTCACTGATCTTGGCCTCACGCTCTGTCCTGCTCTCCACGGTCACAGTGGCAGCTCCTCATCTCTACAGGTCAAAGCAGACATGAAAGATACCAAAAGCAGTGTCAATTGCTGCATTCCAATATAACTTTGTTTACAAAAACAGGCAGTTGAAGAGAAGTCATGGGCCCTAGGGAAAAGCCTGCTACTATTATTTTGCTAAGGGATCATTGTATAAAATGATCTCTAACGGCATAATGCTACACCCTTAGACCAGTACATGCCTCAGCCCTCATCACAGCACCTTCTTCTTGCAGTAAATGGGAATTAACACAGAGGCCCACAACAGGACAATGCACAGAGAGTTAAGAGACTTCAGAGCACTCAGCCCTAAAGGAGATGCCTTTATCAAATCTGTCCCTTCAAGGCGTAGGGAACTGGGAAGATTGTAAAAGCAGAAGATGGTGGATGACTCCAAGAAACAGTGTCTCCCAGATACAACAGAGCTGATGCACACAGGAACCCACAGAGACTGTGACCCGCCCACACAAGACCAACACAGGTTCAAACCAAACAAAATCCTAGCACTGAAAAGGGGAAGTGGACACAAAGTCTCACCCCAACCAAGAATCTACTTATAATTGGTACCTGCCAAGAGAGAGAAAAACCTCTTTTCTCCAATGGAGTGACACTGGGTATATCCACCACACTCCAGGGCAGGCCCCATGCATATGAGTAGTGGACCAACACAAAGGCTTAGAGCCTTAGAAGTAAGCCTTAAGGGTTCTAGGTCACTCCACTTCTGTCCCGGCTCTTCAGCTCCTGGTTGATGCCATGGTGAGGTGCCTCTACCTTGTGAGTTCCTACCACCATGGCTGCAAGGTGACCCTACCTCTGTGCCTTCCATGCCATAAAGGAAGACATCCCCTGCCCCATGACACAAAACAAAACTCTCCTCTCACAACACTTCTGTAAGGTGTTTTGCCACCACAACGTAAGAATAACTAATACAGACAGTGGTTTGGCTCCCAGGCCACCATAATCTGCTGGCCCCTGTTTCTAGAACAGTGATCATCAGTGTGAGCTAACATCAGAAACGAGAGAGGGGCCAACAAGAAGGCTCAGTGAGTACAGGTGCTTGCTGCTGTGTTTGACAACCTGAGTCCATCCCTGGGACCAATAGTGGACAGAGAGGACTGACCCCCAACAAGTTGTCCTCTAATAAAAGGTGCCTTGGCATGGGAGTGCACACAAGAAAGAGAAATAAGGAAGGAAGGAACGAACGAACAAAGGAACGAAGGAAAAATTTTAAAGAGAGTCAACCAGTGAATGACCATGCACTTTCAAGCACAATAAAACTCATGTAAAAAAACAAATAAATAAAATAAAGCCAGGCAGTGGTGTCGCAAGCCTTTAATCCCAGCACTCGGGAGGCAGAGCCAGGCGGATCTCTGAATTCGAGGCCAGCCTGGGCTACACAGTAAGATCCAGGACAGGCACCAAAACTACACTGAGAAACCCTGTCTTGGGGAAAAAAAAAAAAGGAAATAAAAATGAAATCATATTCTGCAATCTTTACCATGTTTGCAAAGATCAAAGGATGAATCAAAATGGAAATTAGGAAATATTTAGAACTAGATGATTTTAAAGACATGAATTCACCTACCATGGTATTTAGACTGAGATTACAGCCTTTAATATTGCATTAGACAAAGAAGGAAGATTGAAAATTAATGAGCTCAGCTTGCAATCACTTTGGGAAAGAACAACAGAATAAATCCAAAGAACATGGAAAAAAATATATAATAAAGACAAGGGGAAATGCTACGAAATTGGAAACCAAAACACAAAACAGGAAAAGGAAAGCTGAAAGCCGATTATTTGAAAAGAACAATAAACCAGACCCAGCGGGAACTCAGCTACACCCACACTGCAAACAGACAGGGTAGCAGGAATCAAGACTGTTCACATTAGAAACGCCAGAAATGACAGATCGGGGAGATTAGAGAGAAAGCTAATGCTTTGTTAACTAGTGACTACACAGGGTTGGGATTTACTCTGCGGGTTCTCTTCTCCCCGGGTCCCTGCTTTGCTTTGTGCTTTTCCAGAGCACACTTTTCATGCCTGACTCTGGGTCCTCCACTGAATTTACCTTCACTCTTAACTGACAGACCGACTGTCTCACCCAGTGTCATCCAGGAAAAGCAACCTTCAGGGGAACAGTCCCACGGGCGACTCACATCCCTAAACTCACTTCCCATCTGCCATGCACCCATTTTGTTGCAGACCCCCCACTCCTTACAGCCATATGAGCTCCTCTTCCTGGCCTCATTTTTCAGAATAAGTGTTTTCTGTGGCTTCCCCAGGTTTCTCCCCGCAGGTCCTTTCTGTCCCCCCCCCCCCCCCCCCCCCCCCCCCGCAGCAAGCTCATTAACATACACATGAACCAGTACAGCCGCCTCTTAACCCAGCTCCCAGACTCCTGTCATTCCCCCGCCAGATCTCCAAGGCAACCACAATTTAACTTCCTTTTTAAAAATTAAAAAGGAAAAAAAATCATTCTCTCAAGTTCCAAAAACATCCACGCTCTTCCCACCTGTCAGAAGAAAGCCCGCACTAACGCCAGCCAGATTTTAGCTTCCCACTTAACCCCTGATCCCACGCCCACTCCTGTCTCCTTTTCCTCACCAGGACATGGCCTTCCTGTGGATGCACTCACCTCAGCTGCCCTCCTCTTTCCTCAGCAAGGCTGTCCTCCGGGCACTCTCCTACACACCCAACTCTCTCAGACTCTCCTGAACTTCATGCTACATGAAGGATCCGGAGGCTTCCCTTGAAAACACTTTACGAGTGGTTTCTTCGAGGAATTAATCATCAAATAATTGCTAAATATTTGTACCTGAAGACCTTTATTAAAACAGTCACAGATATGTGTGTGTATGTGTGTATGTATTACCCAATTAACCATGTTATATGTATTGATATAATTAATTGTATAATATATTATATGTAAGTATATACGATATATATACAGATATATAGATATATATAGATATATACAAAAACAATTCCAGTGAGTGGAACAGGCAAATATATTGTGGCCTATGAAATAAGTCATTCGACATCAGTGAGAAGAGACAAGCCATCACATCCGTGTGAGTGTGTGTGTGTGTGTGTGTGTGTGTGTGTGTGTGTGTGTGTGTCCATCCACACAAAGTTGAAAGCTAAGCGTCATGGCTGGAGGCCTGTATTGCCATCTCCACAAGTAGGAGGAGAGAAAAAATTGGAGGCCAGACAATGACTTCATGAAATCTTCTGGGAAACTGATAATTCTACCTCCTAGTCTGAGTCCTTGTGACAGGCCTATTCATTCCCTTTGTAAAATTTCATGAATGTGTGACCCACAGGCGGGCGCCAATACAACAAGCAACTATATGACAGAGAAATGGGAATGAAAAAGAGAATCGGAGTGGTTCACATGCTGTGGAGAGGGCAGAAGTGAAGAGAAGGCAGTGAGGAAGGGGCTGATGACGGTGGCCAGCACTGCCACCTGGGGTCGCCACCTGGGGCCGCCACCTGGGGCTGCCACCTGGGGCTGCCACCTGGGCCACGGTGATGTCCCAGGCCCCAGCTGCTGCCAAGGGCCATGTCTGGGTCCATGGACCTGCTGCAGCTGGACTCTGTGTTGATGTCGGTGGCCCGTATTACCACCAGGAGCCATGTGAACTGTGAGTGTTGAAATCCAAGGGCCATGCTTAGCTAGCCCCACCCTTTGCTGGCCCTGGGAAATCTGGCCTTGCCTCTCAATGGCTGCTGCAGCTGGAGAGCTAGCCCCACCACTCACCATGGGGTGTGGAAGAGTTGACCCTGATGGTGTAGGTGCCAGAGAGCTGGTTCAGCCCCTTACCTGAGGAGGGCGGTCCCAGCGGAGGCCCGGACTAAACACCTCAGCTACCACCCAGGCCCATATCCAGTGCTTTGAGTTCACTCACCACAACATCTACCCCATCTATGACCTGCTGGAGAGCATGAAGGGGTTAGTCCTGTGGAACCAGGGCTTGAAGATCGCCATGACTAAGGACAGCAGCAGGATACCTTCGAGGAGTTTCTGTAAGGGTCCAGTATTAATGGTGTACCAAAAACCAGAGGCCTTGAACCAGACCGACAACTCACTACAATGAAAAACTGCAAGGAAAGCTGTTTGGACAAAAGAGTGCACTGTGTGTCACACAGCAGCTCCCAAAGCCACCAAGATGAATGAAGCAGTGATGGAGAGGTGGGGAAAAGAGAGGATCAAAGTGTTTTCTGTTTGTTTTTTAATTAATTTTTTTAATTTTATTTTGGGGGGGACATTGCAAGGGTGAAGGTTGGACATGGAGGGACTGAGAAATGAGCGGATTGGGGTGCACGATGTGAAACTCCCAAAGAATCAATTAAAAATGTTTTTAAAGATTTATTTATTTATTAGGTATAGAGAAGAAGTCACCAGATCTCATTACAGATGGTTGTGAGCCACCATGTGGGTGCTGGGAATTGAACTCAGGACCTTGGAAGAACAATCGGTGCTCTTAACCTCTGAGCCATCTCTCCAGCCCCTAAAAATGTTTTTAAAAGTTTCATGAGTGTGTACACACTGACAGGTCATTCACTTTACTGTAAAACGGGTGCAGTAACCACGCACTAAGTGCCAGACCCAACGTGAGAACCATGGGGAACCTAGAAAAAGCAGGACCCTCAGTGGGAGGGAGTCCAGCTCCAGAAGGAGAAGAGAAGCCACGTGGTCATCAGGACACTGACATGGCCATGGGCAACATTGATAAGAGCCTCAGTTCTGCTCTCTGAGCCTTGGTTTCCTGATCTGTGAAATGGGGAGCATGTTTTCTCCTCCACTGAGGTAGGCAAAGATCCAGATGGTATTTCAAATACGTCATAGATGGACCATGGCCCGCTGACTGCCTGAGACATGGAAATGCTTGACTCTGAATCCACATCTTAGTGGTGATATTCCAGAAAAGTTCTTAAGAACATGGTTTCTCACTTCAACTCCCACCCATACACTAACGCGTGCGCGTGTGCGCACACATACACCACACACACACACACACACACACACACACACACACACACAAAATTTATGACTCCTTGGATTGAGATATCACTAAAGAGTAACATCAGTGTGTGTCTTCTCATTGTGGCTGGGGACAGTGCAGGGCCTCAGATGGGTAAGTAGGGGAGCTTGAATTTTTGGAGATGAGAAAACGTGACTAAGAATATCATTGAGTTTTCATTATTATTGTTGTTGTTGTTCAGTGATATCTCAACCCAAGGAGTCATAAATTATGACCCAGGAGCAACACAAAGAAATAAAAAATCCCACTAGGGCCAGATGTCACCAGCCTTCTTATACCTGGTAAGAAATAGATGGTTTTATCTCCGGGTATATAATACCTCTCTCTCTCTCTCCTCTCTCTCTCTCTCTCTCTCTCTCTCTCTCTCTCTCTCTCTCTCTCTCTCTCTCTCTCTCTCTCCCCCCTACTACAGGACCGTTTTCCAACCTGCATGAAGACAGTGGTCTGAAGTCTGCTCATGTTTAGAAATGAGTAGAGAACATGGTGGGTTGTGCTGGGTTTGGAGGCCGTGGCTTCAGCTGGTCTCAGCAATCGGGTGACAGTCAACTGCTGAACGAGACAGTGCCCTCAGTCAGGAGGCTGTGGAGCTCCTGCATGATTACGAGCAGGTCCCCAAGTCTGTGATCACGTGTAAGAACTAGATCCTGATGCCATTAGTCCTTCCCCACCCAAGATGTGAACATGAGCGAGTAAGCCATCAGCCGAAAGGAAGCTTGCTCACATCTGCAAGAAACCAAAACAGCGCCTTCCTCCCTCCCATCCCCTCTCCAGAATTCTCAGACTCCATCCCTTCTCCTATCCCCCCTTCCAAACTTGAACCCCAGCATTGTCCAGCTGTCTATACAACCAACTGTCGCTTCCTTCTTTCCGATTTCTTCTTGTCTTGCCAACTGCACCGGCTTCCCCTGTCGCCTCAAACCACCAAACTTACATTCACATTCCTGGCACTTTCCATGCACCCTCCTTCTCTGGCTCTACTCCAATGTCACTGTCTCAGTGCATGGACTGACCCCCATATCCGGTCTAAAATGGATTCCTATCCTGCCATTTTCTTACTCTTTGCCCCCAGAAATTGCAAGTGTCTCTTATTTGTGTATTTGTTTGCATATATGTCTCCTTGGTTAGTAGACTCTAGACTCTAGAAGAATTTCTTTCACTCACCCCAGTATCCTCCAGGCCCAGTAAGCTACCACTAACATAGAAAGTAGTCCATATTAGGTAATTTATATCTGGCTGATGATTGGTTAATTGATTGGTTGGTTGGTTGGTTGGTTGGTTGATGACTGACAAGAGAGAGAGAGAACATTGCCACTTTAACTGGTTAACTGGAAGGACTTTTTCCTTCATCCTGAGTGGTCTGGAAGGTTTGGAAAGCAATGGAAAAATCATGCTTCTTTTTATAATAATAAAAGTTACAGGCACTGTGTAGAATCAACCCAGAATTTGAAGGACCTTCTCTTGGAACACACAAGCTGTGTGGCCTTTGGATTGTGACTTCTGTTGATGGGGAAAACAATACCCGTTTGAGTTGTTGATAGAATCAGGAGAAATAAGGATTATGAAAGTATTTATAAACAGTTAAAGCACTATAAAATTCATGAGGCTCAAGTTAAGACAGTAACAGGGTAGGCAAGAAGTGAGAGATGTGTGCAAAGCTGGTCTCAGATAAAACATCTGACAAAAGCCAGGCGTGGTGGCTCACACCTTTAATCCCAGCACTCAGGAAGCAGAAGCAGGTGGATCTCTATGAGTTTGAGGCCAGCCTGGTCTACAGAGTGAGTTCCTGGACAGCTATGGCAATACAGAGAAACTCTCTGGGGGCAGGGGACAAACAAACAAAAAAATCTGCAACTTATGGAAGAAAGGGTTTATTCTGGCTCATGGTCCAAGGGTGTGGTCCATCCTGACAGGGAAATCGAGGAAGCAGGAGCTTAAAGTAGTTGTCACATCACATCTGCAATCAGGAAGAAGAGAAAGATGAGAGCTTGAATTTGGTTCTCTTCCTCCTCGCTCTCCCCCCCCCCCCCCATAAAATTTTACTTGGTTTTTGAAATTTTCATACAGAACCCCCCACTTCCCTATTATCCAACCACCCAACTTTTATCCCACCCCCCATTAAGTACAGTTTGTGTTGGCTGACTAATCCTGGGCATATGGTCTACCCTGAAGTATGGTCAGTATCCCAGAGGTGATACTACCAAAGAAAACTGACATCCCCTTTCTCAGCAGAAATCCAATGCTCCTCATCTAGCCATGGCATTTCATG